GCCCTAGTCCCCCTGAATGGAACCCAACAGCTCAGCACAAACCTCCCTGTGCCAGGACGCCTTCTGGCGCCTGGTGCCTGGCACCAAGCGTGCCGCTGAGGCGTGGGGCGGCCCAGTGGACGTCGGGACCCTTGCCCTCCCCTCCAGGTCAGTGAAAACAAGCAGGCACGGATTGCCATGGTCCCTTTGTGATGGCATCGATGTACACTGTCCTTTGTGGATCGGAACAAGAGCTGGATTCCGCTCTTCATTTTTGGGTCGGATCATGTACCGGTTGAACCCATGTATTTTGCCAGAAGGACATGTTGGGGTAGATGCCTGCGTGGGGAATTTGCGTCTCAGCCAGCTCGGTGATAGGCCCAGAATTCTGGTGGTTCTCCATTTGTTTGGAGCCAAAGCGATTTCCCTCTGGTGCTCGGTGAACACCGCAAACAGCGGCCTCCTTTCTGTCTTCTTTCTTTTTGTTTGTCTTTCTTTCTTTCTTTCTTTCTTTCTTATTTTCTTCTTTTTCTTTCTTTCTTTCTTTCTGTTTTTCTTTCTTCCTTCCTTTCTGTCTCTCTGTCTCTGTGTCTCTCTGTGTCTCTGTGTCTCTCTCTCTCTCCCTCTCTCCCTCTCTCCCTCTCTGTCTCTCTGTCTCTCCCCCTCTCTCTCTCCCTCTCTCTCTCTCTCTCTCTCTCTCTCTCTCGGGCCGCAACCACTTGTCCAAGAGGCATTTCGTGAGAGGGTGTACCGCCAATCCAGGCCAAGAATAATTCATTGAACCCTCCCCCCCGGTTTGCGTGCTGATCTGTGGCTAAGCTTCCCAGTTGCTCGCCCCGAGCCGGGGTAGCTCACGTTTCTTCCTTTCGCTCCCAGGGAGAAGGCCTGGAGGGAGCATCCCCTCTTCAAGGACTCCCAGGCAGACGCATGTCAGCGGCGCCGGGGCCGGGGCGCGGGGGGGGGGGGAGCCCAGGAGAAGCAACTGCGAGTTGATCCCATGGCAGCATGGCATCGAATGGTTCAAGCCATTTTGACCTCCAATCTGGAGGCTTTCTGCTGATGGAAGGGGAAAGACGGCGAACCCCTGGGACCACTTTTAGCACACCGGCTTGTGGCTGACATTTGCTCACGGAAAGAGGCTGCGCCCATTCTCACGAATCTAGCTTGATGTTCGGTCAAGATATTTAGTGGTCTACGCTGCAGTAACTTGGGAGGGACATTCGAGGGCTCACGAAATATCCCATAAATCCTTGGAAAGGGGGTTCTTTGGCTTTCGTTCTACAACGCACGCTGCCGGAGGCTGATCGTTTCTCAACGCGGACCTTCTTGTACACCAGCTATTTCCATGTTTTCAACGGCTTCCACGGTGTCCTTGGTTTGTATGGTTAGCATGGTTTCTATGATTCCATAGATTCTATGCTTTGTAGGGCTTCCATGTCCACGACGGGTGCGGTGTAGTGAGAGTGCAAAGAGAGAAAGAACAAGGCAAGCTCTCCTTCTTGCTTATGGAGGTCGGGCAAACAGGGTTTCTTACATTATCCACCTGCCTGCGCATTACCCCCACATGGTGATTTCCTTCGGTTCGGTGGAGCAGGGAGTATTTTTTACCTTGCCCCACTTCTTGATTTCCGACCGCCCCCAGGTAAGAGTGGCCAACTTTTCAGTGAGAAGCCCTGAGACAGGCCCTCTGCCAGTGCCTCCTTTTCACTCGTTCGGTGTCTTGCGAGTACGTGAGCCACGGTCCATGAGGTAAACCCAAAGGATTCAGGGAGGGCCGTCATTTCATCCGTGATCATTCTGCAACACACGCGGATATGACTAGCGATCATTTCTCAACACGTCGACCATTATTGACGATCATTTTCCAACACATGCCGGCATTTACTAAGCACACCCACTCCACCACACGCGTCATGGAGCAGACTCATGCTGAGGTGCACTCCATATGTATCACCATGGGCCAGAAACAGTCAGTTTCCCAGTTGTTTTCCCGAGGGGCCACTTCCGAGCCAATGCCATCGTATCATCTTCTTGATGCACAACTCAGTTGCAAAGTGCAGCAGAAATTGTCACATCCCTCCCTACGCTTTCTGGATGCTTTTGGTCTTTGAGTTCCCCTTCCAGAGATCTGGTGCCCCTGAATCATTGGGCAACGTGGCTTGAGCGAGACCATGGACTAGTGACGGATCCCTTCTAAGATTGGGTTACATGTTTTGAGTTCAGACATGGCTGTGGCTCAAAAAACCGTTACCAAAATGGAACCCTGGTAAGTGGAAACATGGACCAAAACCTGCGTAACCCCTCCTGTTTAAAATTTGAGCCACACCCATATGGGACAGAATCAAGCATCTTTGTGCCCAGCGCCCGCAGGACCCCATGTTTGGCCTGCTGAACCCCGATGACTACGAGAAGGGCCCGGGTGCTTAGAGGAATCTGGCCGAGGAGATCGATCGAGCGAAGGCCCATGAAGCAAACGCAAACAGTTGGTACTTCCTTATCGGTTTGTTTTTTAAGCTTCCCACCTATTTGGCCCAAAGGGGGGGGGGAAAGGGAGAGGTTGAGGCTTCTTGATGTTTGCCCAGAACCAAAAAACATCATGCGTCAGTGTGGTTTCCCTTTTCAAGCCCGTGAGCTGAGGAGACACCTGGGAACTCGGAGTGGCGGATTTGAAGGGGGGGCTTAGTGATCCGGAATTTTGCGGCCTGCAAATCAACACAATCTGGCGTTACTGAATCGGCTGGGTTCCCATTGGTTAGATCCTTCTTCGGCATCCCCATTCCAGCCACTATGCACGTACTTCATCGCCGAACACTCGCTAAAGCCAAGTCTGAGGAGCCATGACACCATGGCCCTATGGTCCTCCCCTGACTCACATGGCACCCCTCCGTACGACTTCAATAGCAAAACTGTCCAAGTTCCGTAAACCAAGCCCCGAAGTAAGCTCCAACAATCCTGAGGGTGCAACTGACCGATCTTCCCCGTTTTTGGCACCGGCTGCACCAAGCGCGCGATATCCAATGGGGGCCTTTTGCCAAGGGCGTTGCTGCAGAAAAGCAACTCGGGCCTCCAGGTTGGCCATTTGGTCCCAGAGCTTCATGGTTTTGGAGGGGGAAATTGCTTTGAATTCAAGCGCCCCAAAAGCTGGAGGTCTGGGTGGTGGCTTTAGCTTTGGCTTGAGGTGGGTTGAGAAGTTGAGAGGGGTGGCTTTGGTTTGGATTAGGTTTGGTTGAACCAAGTGGAATCCGTTGATGGATAACCAGTCACTCGCCTGGAGGCTTGCTTCGAAACTCGGTACCTAACCCAACGCTGGCTTTGGTTAGCTGTTGCCGCAAGTAGGTTACAGCCGTGGTTACCCACCACCAAGTTCCCCTCAAGCTGAGGTTTGGTTCCCTTGGTTACCTACGGTAAATGGGTATAGTGTGACAACCTCCGTACTGCGGATGGACGAACTCCATTTTACACCAGTTTGGATGAAATCTTGATGGGACAACCCACCTAAGTGTGCAAAGTGGATTTTGTCCAGTATGGTTACCTATGATTGCCTATGGTTACCTGGGATGGAAACCTGGGATGGTTACCTGGGTGTTGATCAATATTCCCTTCGGCCCGAAATGACCATGGGTGACTTGACCATGGGTGACTTGACCCATGTGGCAGATATCATATCTTTTTGGTGGTTTCCCCCACATGGTCATCCTATGTTCATCGGACCTGCTGATCAACCCCCACCTGAGCCATCGTCAAAACCCGGGTAGGTGGGCGAAAGCTTTGGGGTCTCAGCCCAGATAGGCTCCGGGGTGGTACGGGGCGGCCCTGAGGTAAGGTTCCACGAGGGTTCCACAAGGGTTCCACCAGGGTTCCACCAGGGTTCCACCAGCGTTCCACGAGGGTTCCACGAGGGCTGCGGCGTGGTGCGAGCAGTACAAAGAGCACCGCATGCTGTTGGGGATATAGCCAGGGGACCGCAGATTTTAGTCCATGTTTCCATTTACCAATCGTGCAAGCCATTTTGGGGTTACCCTATTGTTGACTCACAGCCATTTTAATACCGGTCGGTTTGACAGTGACCCACCAAAGGTTTGGTGGGGTTTGGGTTTTCCTCAGGCCTGGAAGAGGCCTGGGAGCGCGCGAAGCCCGCGGGCAGTCGGGGAGCCCAAATCCCAAGGAGTCGAGCGCTGGAGGATTGGGGGGTGGGTTCCCTGGGGTTTCTTCATTTGTTTGGTTCGGCTTTCTGTGCTTGCATAGGTACATAGGTTTGGGTTTTCACTCTGTTTAAATTCGGTCTCTTTTTATTTTGGGTTGCTGGCGGTTTGAGTTTTCACTCGCCCGACGTCTTGCCACCCCAATTGATTCTCAAGTTTCCATGGTGTCCATTGCTTGGAAATAGAGACCAAGGGGCAGGATCAAGGACTCTCTCAATTTTCGCAGTGAAGCTGAGGAGGGGATTGAAGATCAGCAGCAGCTCAGAGGCACCCTCTAAGTGCTCTTCTTGTTTGGCTTGACGAAAAGTGGTCTCTCCCCCTTGTCCAGGCTGTGACTCCACCCCAGACATCCCATTTGGTGTGGGTTTGGGACCCACGAAGCATAGGTGTCCAAGGCCAAAGAAGAAATCCGAGTCCCTCGCTGCGGCCGGTTGCAACTGCTTGAGGCACCGTCACGGTGAAGGACAAGCTGAAGCAGCTCTCCAAGCAAGACTCCCCCCACTGGGCAGCTTGGCACGGAATTTTTGGCACAGGAGCTGGTGAGATGTTTGCTTCCAGTTGAGGCCCAACAACACAGTTGAAGGCTAACGGGATTTTTTGTTGGTTGCCTACGTTGGACAATTGTGTTTTTAATGTTCCTCGCACTTTTCCTTTTGATCTTCAGCAAAAATAACTTTTCCCTTGGGATCTCCTCTTGGCCGTCTCCCTTCCAGTTCCCTTTCGGGACTGGCTCTTGGTCTTCTTGTTTTTCTGTCCTTTCCCTCGCTCGCTCGCGTGTTTGTCGTTTGATCTTCCGCGGTTTTCGTCCGACTCTCTGAGGAGTCCTGGAGGAGCCTCTCTGCCTGAGGTTCGGGTGCAAGCTCCGGGGTGAAGCTTCCCTGACTTGGGAGTTTCGGATGTTCGGTTGGTGTGAACTATGGCGACTTGAAAGAAGGGATCAGAAGGGGACATGCCAGCAAACACAAGGAGACATGGCTGGCTTTTTCGAGAAGGATGGTTGAGAAGAATGAAGGAACCAGCCCCCTCAATCGAGCGGAATCGGACGCCCGGTCCCTAAAAGGCAGTTTGGATCGGTGATTTACAGGTTCCCATTTAATTCAACCCGCCAATCCAAGCCCTCATTCAGGGCAAGCCGCAAGCCAAACAAGATTCAACAAGCGGTGTCCCGCCGACTTGGGCTGATGGCAACCCCCCCCGACTGGGGATCCTTTGAGGCTTCAAAGCACTCGTCAGGTATGAGTCAAAACGAAGCTTTTGAACTGCTTCCGTCTTCTAAATGCGGGATGATACGACACGTGAAATTCGGGCTTTCTGACATGTGTAACAGGTAGCGGTTGCATGTAATATGTCAGCAATCTGAGCCCAAATGGCCTACAATTTTGGCTCAAGAACTGGTCCACTTTGCATCTTGGAAACAGTCTTTTTCCGTTGGTGACTAGTGATCGTTTCATATGTCAGCAACATCAGGTGGTTTGAGGGATTGGTAACCACTTTTCTAACTGTAAGTTCCGATCCCGCCAGGGCGACGGTCGTGAAGCGTTTCTGAAGTACGTCCCGACTTGAGCAGGCAAAGACGGCCAAAGGCCTGGCACGTCGCCAGCACATTGGCTAGTGAGGTTGAGGTTGTTGGCATAGCTTATTTGTTAATGGGTCAAAATCAGCAGTGCGCGCATTGTTTTTGGGTGAAGTTGCAGTTGCCTGCAAGTTTTTAAGCCTGTGACCAGACGCTACAGGCTGAAAAGAAAGCTTCCGTTCCTGCCGCTACTCTGGACCATGTTTTCCTGGCAAGCAAACCAGGCCCGACTGCCTTCTAGATGTCTTTGCTCAGATACCGGATTAATTTTGTTGAAACTGCATGTTTTTCGCAAGGTCTCCAAGGGCCTTGCGTAGTGCCCTTCCTTGCATTTTTCCTCTGATCTCTTTTGGACGCCACTTGAGCATAGACTGGTGAGTCGAACATCGTTTGAGGACCAAGCTCGCCCTTGGCTGAAGCACTGTTGAGAAGTAGCGCATGTTTACATGGCCCAAAGAAGCACGGGCAGCCGCTCCTGAAATAAAGATCCTAAGGCAAGCCTAGAGATATTCTGCAAGGACGCAATATATGGCTTGAAGCAGTTCACGATGTAGTGTTCGCAGGGCCTGGCCCAGACCCCCAGCCACAGAAGCCTGCAACTACCAAGCCTTCTGGGTGTCAGATGGGATGATGCTTCGCCCAAGCTAGGCGCGGGTGACTGTCGGCCAGGGGGATCTAATGCAAGATGTTGGTTGGCTGACCTGGCAAAATGGCCTTGAAGTGCACACAATTCAAATCAGAGATGAATCAGGCCCTGGCTTCGTCCCAGTCCCACAGCGACTGGACCATCTATGGACCGGGTGTTTGCTGCTTCCTCGGGCTTGCTGCATGCTATGCGATCCAACCCTGTTTAGCGGGCTTGGGATCAATTTCTTGTGCCTGGAAGACTCTCCATCTATGGGATGGCCCCATCCTGGTGAGCAATCTTTGCCATTTTTCCTTGTTAGCACATGACATGTGGCCAACGCGCACACACACACACACTTTCACAAGCAATACCCACGCAGGTATCCTTGTCAGACTCTTGTCATGATTGTCACAATGTTGTCATGCACACACACACACACAGACACACACACACAAAACACAGAACACACCACACACACAACACACACACACAACACCCACACACACAACACACACAACAAACACAAACAACACAACACACACACACAACACGCACACACACAACACACACACACACGCCACAGACAACGCACACAACACAAACACACACAACACACTACACACACAAGCACACACACAGACACAACACACAGACACAACACACAGACACAACATACACACAAAAACAATCAACACACACCCCAAGACACACAAGACAAACAAGACACACAAGACACACCAGACACACAAGACACACAAGACACACAAGACACACAATACACACAAGACACACAAGACACACAAGACACACAAGACACACAAGACACACAAGATGCACAAGACACAACACACACGCACACCCAATCACCACACACAAACACACCACACGCACAACGCACACACACACACACACCACACACACGCACAACATACACACACACACAACATACACATACACACCACCCAGAAACTCAATACACACACACACATGGCACATACACAAGACGCAGACAGACACACGCACACACACACACACAGAAATACACACAACACATGCAATTCAATACACACACAACACATACACACACACACACAATATGCACACACACACACACACGCACACTCAGACAACACACACACACACACAACACACAACACACTCGCACACAACGCACACACACACACAGACAGCACACACACACACACATACACACATACACACATACACACATACACACATACACCCGACACACACACACACACACACACAACACACGCACACACAGCAGCACGTAAACCAGCAAAAACACACACACACACACACAGAGTTATGTGCATGTTCGCGCATGCACACGCGGGCACACATACGCACACGCACACGCACTCTCATTTGTATGCAAACGCAGGCAGGCATGTATGCACCACACACACAAACACCACGCACATGTGCACATATTTACATGCACATGTGCACACACACACACACGCGCGCACACACGCAGAGACATGTGCACAAATGCACACCCAAAGAACCACACACACACACACATGCTCAGACATGCACACGAAAGCACGCACACACACACACACAAGAAAGCAAGCGCACACACACACACACACGGACATACACACATGCACACTGGTGCACCTACACACCCAATCAACTGTACAGAAAAGCTAAAACACAAACCACACATACAAAGGCACACACACACATGCGCACGCACAAGCACACAAATGCACGCAAAGCACACAGAAGCAACCACAAATTCAATCACACAACAGCGCGCACACACAGAAGTAGAAACAGACATGGACAGAAAAGCACACACAAGCAGACACACAAACACGTATAAACACACACACACACATACGCTCACAAGAGCAACCACACAGGCACACAAATACCACATCCCTTTGCCCCCACAAGACCCCCACATCCCCACACGCACACACTCGCACACACACACACACACTCACACTCACACGCACACACACAAACACACACTCCCACACACCCACTACTCACAGGTGCGCTGGCAGTACGCAGGCGCAATGCGGCTGGCGGAGGCTTTAACGTGCCTTGGTTGGATGAGGTTCGGACTTGGCTAAACCTATCGACTGGGCTGCTAGACTTTCCAGCCAAATAACTTGGTGCAAACATCCCCCCTAACGAGTGGTTATGTGTTTTATCATTCACAACCCACGAAGTAAATCAAGCGAGAAACTAAGTTCGTCACAGTACCCATCCTAAATTGGTGTAGCGTGACTGACAGGAAGCTTGGGAAAGGGAAGCGCCCGCGAAACAGAAGCGGCCTCGATTTCATCAAAGCAAACCACCGAGATGCGACATCTCGTCTCACAGACTTTTCTCGCCTTGCAGAAAGAAACGTCAGCCCAGCGAAGATCCCCGAAGGCAATCGAAAGCAACCTCGGTTCAATCTTGGTTTTCTTTGCAGATGTTTGTAGCTCAAATAAACATCTCTGTTTCTCAAAGAATAAGCCGAAGGTCCGACTGACTGGACAATGGACGGGGGAGGTTGTGGGGGGGCCTTGGGCACTTCTATTGCAGCACCCAAACTCACAAATACCCCAACCGTCACGCTTGCAACATGGGCTCAACACGTCCAGTTGTTTGTTTGTTTGTTGCCACCTGCTTTGGTGTTTTTACAAAAGGGCAACCAACAGGAAGCCCGCCATCTCAAGGGGCTTCCTCCAAAAGACATCCCCATATGCCAGTTTCCCCACGTCCAGGACCTTCAGGTCCCGCGTCTCAGATCGGTACAGTGTGGATTTGTGACAATAAACGATGTCCACCGAGGGGTGCCACTCAAGATTTATGCTTCTTTACGAGTCCTGGGTGTTTCTCAAAATAAGGGGGCCAATTCTCCGGTTGGTTTCCTTTTGGTTTCCCTTCCAAACATCCACAGCTTTTACCCCCAAAAGGGGAGGTTTGAAGGGAAGCCCAAAGGACAAGCCCAACGTTGGGTGCCCAAATCCCATTTCTGACACATGGCCTGGGAAGTGCGACCGTCGAGAGCCGAGCCCAGCCGAGCCGAGGTGCGCGGCGCCGTGGCGGGCATGGCCAGGCGGGCGGTGGGGCCAGCCGCAGGGAGAATTGGGCGGTGGGAGCCACATTGCGTAGAGAAGCTATTCCAAGCTTTCTTTGGGTGTGATTTTGCTTTTGCATTTAACCCCAGCGCCATTGCAGTTTTCAAATGTTTTGGCTATGCAAAGCAGCGGAAACAGCCACGGTCCCACTGCGCGCCACCGAGGGGTTACAACCGTCCGCCCATTTCTTATGGCCTGTCGCTATTCTTTGCTTCCCTTGACCAACCACCCCGCAGACAGCCGGACCAAAATTCCCAGCAGGGAACTGGAGCTGTTGGCCGAATGGCTTGGGGACATGTCGTCCAGAATAAGCACACCATCTTTGTGATCCTAAATATTTCAATCTGGGGGCATACTATGTTTGCCCTTTTGTGGTTCGCTTCGGTACAGGCATGAGCGACACCCGAAGGATTTGTTCAAAGCTATCCTCGCGGTTCTCATGCTTCCAATGAAGAAACAATATAAGCATCATGTAAACACATGATGTATTGCTCGCACTCGGCGATTTCTTTCTTCCTTGCTTGGACCTATTGGACCTGCCAGTGCCGTTTCAGGGTGACCAGCATGTTTCCCGCCACAACGAAGTATGTCGTGTCTAATGTTCCTGTTTGACCTGTAGGGGTCATACACTTCTTTTGGACTTGTATTGTTTTTTGTGTCCTATTCACTGGGCGTCCTGGAGAACGTGTTTGCCGCCGCTCCCCGCAGCCTTGCGGCCCCGTGCTGTGGCCTCATCCGTCGAAATAGAAGCCCAAGGGCCCAAGATATAGTCGGGACAGACTGATGGACTCATAGTTTGCTCACTGAAGACATCCTTGCTAGTGTTAGACATAGGGCAACTGCCTAGTCTGCAAGGCATCTGAGGAATCTGCAGGTCACAGAGTCAGAGGCCCGGAAACCAACCCCCGCGCGGCTGCGGTTCCGTGGGCTTTCGGCCCGGCCTAGGCGGTGCCGGTGAATGGGACCCCAAAAGACAAGCAGTGCTCACACCCCCATCACCGAAATGGGGTGGGAGGTCCAAAATCAGGTCCCTCAAAGGGGTTCGGATCTCATGGGCAGGTCCCGCAACACATGTGGAAAGAGGCGCGGCTTGGAGAACCGTCATTTACCACTCTATTTCAGACTTTCCGGACCCTTGCTCCAAGCCGCAAAACCAGCACGGGTAGGAAATTAGGATTGGGGTCTCTTGTTGTGCTGGGACCAGCTGGAACCCGAACCTGAAATCTCTTTTGATATTATGTTACGTGGGGTTCGCTAACCACCTCAAAAGTTGTTGGTGGGCATGAATCCGCACCGAAATGATGTCCCTATTAACATTCACATCCTTATGGACCATGATCAACCGTGTGTTTCTTGTCTGGGGCAAAGTCTTTCGGAAATCTGCCTTAAAACCGCACACAAGCTCCCCAAACAGACATTTCGGTATTTTTCGATATTTGGTTCCTGCTACCAGGCTTTCGTGCAGATTGGTTTCCTCCTTCCGGAATCAAGCACTGTTCAGCATGGCAACCTTTCAATAGCCGACGCCAAGGCTTGCTTCGGCGCCTTTGTTGCGCCTTACGTTTTCTTTGGGCTTTAACCTTAGCCGGGGTCAAGCACCGAGCAACGATAGATAGCGAGCTCACCAGGATGACAATGGTTGACATGAGTCTGCCTGTTTTGGATGTCCCTTCGCGGCCAGTGCAACGAACCTCACCCAGATTCTGTGGTGCGATTGGCGTTGGGCGCAGGATGCCGGGTTCAGCCAATGATGTCCGTGCCTAGGCAGGGAATGGAGGAGCAGCAGCAGCAGGACCAGTTGCAACAGCTGCTGGCGTGCTTCGTTGCTCGGGCAGGGGAGGGGAAGCGGGGGTGAGGCTGGGGAGTGCAACTGCAGAACTGGTCCAATCGTTTTTTTTTGGGGTTCTGGTGACGAGGGTAAGACAACCAGCACAACCAGTGGGCGGAGGCTGTTTTGGAGGGGACAACATGGCCCACCAAGATGTCAAGAGAACCATGGTTCGCGGTTCCCAACTTGTGCAAAGCGAGCCTCTGCATCAGCCGCATGGAAGTATGCTGTTTCAATAAAGCCACGTGCCGGAATCTTGGAATGAAGCCATGCGAGAAGGATTTCAATTCCTTGTGATGGTGAGACAGATATGAGACAGATTAGGCGCGGTGCCGCGCCTGAAGCCCCAGGCTTTGGATTTTTTCCCAATCTGGGAAGCGTGATGCGGAGATTCTTTTGGTTGGAAGGCTCCTTTCATGGCTTAAGGCCCTATGTGCGGTCTAAAGGGCTTGGGCCTGGCTTCGAAATCAATCCTTCCAGATGGCAGTGGGCTCCGCGGGTTCCACGTCCCACGGACGAATTCGGAGAGATCCGGGCCCGGCCGCGCTGAGGAAGTTCGCGATGGCGTGATCATCTCCAACGTGGACCACTTGGGCAAGACTGAGCTTTGCGAGGTCGGAGGTTGGCCACTTTGGGTGGGGCATCATTTGGGAATAGACTATGTGTGTGAAGCAGTCCATTTTTTCGTAACCGATTCCAAGCCAAGCTCTTTAGCACAGATTTCCCCTGCCAGAAGTCTCTTCGTCAAGAGACGCTGCACATGTTGTGTGATATGCGGGGTCAAACATCCCACAAGCACGGAGAAAGCAATACAAGCTGTATTCCTTGTTAAACTGACTTTTCCTTCCAGTTCCACCTTTGCTTTTGTCTTGGCTAGTCGGATAGTGGCGACTACTTGTGACCTTAGTTTGTTGGGGGTCAAACATATGGCCATTTTGTGGACTCCCGTTCTGCCTTGTGCCGCATAAGGGGGATAGGGAACAGGGCCCCTAATTTTGACAAACTCTCAAAGATAGGTGGCCTGAAAGGCGACAACGGACCCCGTTGAAGCGGCTCACACTTGCGGCCGCCTTTTGCACCCGTCGCGCGAGGCGCATCTCGCAACGAGGTTTGAGGCCCTGTGTTCACCTCGAAAATTCCGACCGGACTCAGGGGAATTGAGTTGAGTTGGGCCCGCGGCGAGTCAGCCACGCAACCATTGCTGTAAGCTTTCAGCGCACAACATCCTGGCAATCAGTGCTTGAATCTGCTCCCTTGCGCGAGCGGCGCTGAAGTTCTAAACCTTCGCTGTTTGTCAAGAGCTTGGCCCGGGACGTGGGTTGTCCAAATTGGGGGTCCTGTTCTCACTCCCTGAGTTCATGGACTTCAGACTTTTCATTTTTGGGAAGGCCTTTTTAGTGGCAAGCAGGCCCCCTTGGTACATGGAACCAAAGACTAAACCCTGCGTAACCCTAGCTCCTTAATTTTGAGCCACAAGTTGGACTTTTCTTGGCCGGTCCCCTTGAGGTTTCAGCCCCTTCAAACGGCGGGCGGCGACTCCAAAAATGGGCATATCGTTTTGAACCCCTCCGTTTCCCCACCGCGTTACGCGCAAAAGAAGACCCTTTCATCGGTTTGCCCGAGACTTGGGAATTTGAAGAACCCTGGGGAATCGGCCAAAATTTGCCGCTGGCCATTATTGAATCAACTCCCGCGCCCCTGGCCCCTTTTTGTGAGCGCTGGACAGGGTTGGGCCAATGCCCTGTTTAGCCATGCTGAGCGGCCTACTGTTTCAATAGCCGCATTTTTTGCCCCCTTTGAAGATGGCTAGAGTCTGGTTGCAACACATTTTGCGCCCGCCCCAACGCCCACGTGAGTTATGGCACGGCAGATTCTGCCTCTCGTCCAGGTGCACCGCTATGCCATCAAGGCAGCGTTCAGCGTCGACAAGACGCTGTTGGACTGCGTGTGGAACTCCAAGCCGCTTGGACGAAGCGTGGGAGGGACATCGCCCGGACATCGCCCAGGGTACGAGACTCACTCAATTTCAGGGTACTATGGTTAGTTTGGGAGGGACACAGGAGACTATTTTTTCCCCACAAAGAAGGGGACTCATTTTTTTTATAAATCCATATCCGTTACGGGAAGACCCCCACGTTTTGACCGTGGCTAGTTAATATGGCGTGTTCTTTCCCGGTCTGTTGAAAAAATGCATCTCTTCGGAGCTTGATATGAGGGCAGAGGTCACCAACAACCACCTTGTTCGGGGGTCAGAAGTTTGGGCCACAGAGACGCTCGCGTTGCAATTCCTGAGAATTCGGGTGATTTGATGCCGCTGAAGCAGAACTAAGCCCCGAGCACTTGCCGTGGTGTTGTTGTCCAACAGAGCTTCTGCCGCTCGCTTGCGGTTGTCCTTGTGCCCTTGAAATTCGCTCGGAGCCGAGCTTGGTGTGGTCCCTGGATGAATCGGAAGACACGTTTTGGACTCTAACTTTGGCGACGCTGTCACGTGGGCCTTGGCACTGAGGTTCTCTCTTGCAAAGGTGTCCCGTGTGGGGCCTACACCAACCCCAGAGTTTGAGACAAAGGGTGGGAGAGAATCGAAGTCATGCCCACGTTTTGGGCTCATTGGTGGGGAAACATGTCATTTCGGGGGTATCATCATTAGCGCGTCTTCTTGTTTAGCTGAAGGGAACAGTGCCAACAGCATCCTGTCGGTCCCGTTCTTGAGACCTGCCTCTTGAGCTCTCATGGGCCATGAAGGAGCCAGTGAGGGCAGGGAGTTGGGAAGATTCTCAGCAGACCTGGGGCAGACTTTCCAGGAATAGCTTCTTGCCTCAGCTGCGCTTTTTCCCCAAGTTGCTGCTTTTTGGTTTACCCAAAGCTTGTCAGCCAGATGGGCCAGAAGGGGAAACCACAATGGCTCGCAGAAGACCGGGCCAGGCATCCTGACTGACATACTGAGAACTGACCTGCACACCCAACAGCGCCCATCTGCAGCAGAACCTCCCGTTTTGGGGGCCCCTGTTTTTTTGCGTTCCACGTCGATTTGTGTTTGGCCGCTGTGGGCCGACCCTGGGGCTAAATGTACTTATCAAAACCAGTGACCACGCCCAGAGATTTGCTACATGTGGGATGGTCAACCTGTCCTTGCAGTCAAAGATCGGCACACACACGGGGGAACCTCGCCCAAAATAGACCGGCGCACACGCCTTTGTCGAGTATCGCGTTCTTTTGGGCAAACTCCAGTGACACCCAAAAATGCGGGTTTGACTAGCATCGCATTTGGGGTTTCTCAAAATAGTGTCCCTTAAAACAGTTGCTTTCCTTTTAGTTTCTCTTTTCAACACCAAAGGGGGTTCGCCATTTTGAGAAACTCCCAACATGGCGTGTTTTATTTTTTGGCGGAGCGTCTAACGCTGGTGGCCAGGGACGTGGAACAGCCCTACGTGGAGCTGGACGTGCTTCCAGGGCAGCACGGTTGTCTGGACCCTGCGCGGGGCGCCTGCATGGTGGGAGCCGGCAACTTCAAGCTGCGCCCGGAGGGCCCAGTTCGGCCTGGGAAGACGGTGTTGATGTTTCAAGACGCTCTGGGTTGGGAGTTTCTGGACTTACTCTTTTGGGAAGAGGGTTTGTGATGGTGACGTGTTGACTTTGTTGGGCCAAAAACTACTCTGGAGGTTGGTTGTTGGCCCGAAAAGCCGTTTGACTCATGTTACCGGACCCTGGTTGGTAGGGGGGGTCCAGTGGGAATCCTTCACCTTGGTGGGCGCCCACCCTACGAGTTGGATGGACTGATTAATTCAGGGCTCCCATTGGGGTTGAAATTACAGCTAGAGCCATGATAGGATCATGACAGTTGTAATTATTTAGATTAGATCTTTGTCTTGTTGAACTTTGATGCTTGCGGCTGGCAAGTTCCCATCATATAACGAGGAGATCTCCCACTTGCGTTGACGGCAGACATGCATTTGGGAAAATGCAAAAATGACACGTGTTGTTAGGGAAAGTGAGACATGCTTCTGGGTGCCTGAAGCGTCAACTCATTTTGCTGCCCCTTCCGTTGGAACGCGGTCAGTCTTGGAGTGGGAGGGGGGTGCTTGGGGTCCCCTTCAAGGGGGAGTGATCAAATCCTTCGTTCCTTTTTTACAAGGCAGACCATGGCTCCAGCTTGCCACGGGCCGTTTCCTTTGGGTGACTTCCGAAAGGCCAAAGGCAATAGCTGGCAGTCAACCGAGTGGCTGGTAGTTGCTGCATCTTGCTTTCTTTTGGCCTGCTTTCTCTTTTGCCTTCCATTTCCACTCTGTCAAACTCGGGGTTGCTAGAAGTCCTGGCTTTATCTCCAAATAGATGGAATGGCCGCTTCTTCGCTACAGCGGATCACCTTCCGGCTCACTCCCAAAACCACACGAAATCCCCGAAGCTGAGCGAAGCCTTGGGGGCCAACTAAATCGCATCCTCAAAATGCTCCCGACTGCCCCATCCGAAACGAGGGTCCCAAAGCGGTAGGTCTCCCAAATGTTTGGCCAACTGAGCATGCAAACTGGCTCCAAATTGGGGAGGACATGGGGATGTTCATGTCACCATCCCGTAGCCCGCCCGCCCGACCACAGTGTCGACCGCTTGTGAGTGCGGCTGGTTCTCGCTTGTGAGTGTGGCGTTTGTCGCATGGCAGGCTCTGCCTCCAGATGCCTCTTTCCGCCCTTCGGGCTGTGTTCTCGCTTGTGAGTGCAGCCCTTCCACCTTGCTTCTCGCTTGTGGACTCTCGTGCCTTTTTTCTTCAGCTTCCGGCTTCCGTTTTTTGCCGATCTCCTGCCTGAGTCTTTTGTCAGGCTTTAGCGTAGAACCCCTTGCCTCAAATGGCAAGCACGCCCGGGCACACGCACCAGCCAAGTGGTAAGCACGGTCGCGACGCGACACGCATGTCTCGTACGTGTTAAGCGTTGTTTGGTTGACGCATTCAACGAAAGCTTGTGCGGATTGCGCGTTCTGCCCCCTAGGTTTTTTGAGAGCGGGACAGCCTCAGCAAAACAAGGCCATGTAGCAAAACAAGGCCATGTAGTGGTTGTGGTCAAGGGCGCGCTTGAGCGAGTGTGCTTGTTGCCCCCCATCCCCCTAATTACGAACTTCCTGTTTGACCGATCTTCTAGGGTGATCTGTCGATGTCCAACTATCCTGCGCTCGCAAGTGAACAGACACAACAAATGCAATTATGTGATAGCCAGTAGAAACAATTTGTGACCCCTCTCACCAAAAATTGTTTTGCAGCTAGATTTATTGTTATTGATATTGTGCGACAATGACTCAACATATCTCATGCGCTCACCATTGGGTAGACAACATTGTGACCCTTCTCGCGAAAGTAAACCCGTGCGCTAGCAAATGAGTCGATAATGCGAGCTGCGCTCGCAAGTGAGATCGAGGGCAAGTGAGGTAGCCTTCTCAACCCGTATGTCTCCAATGGCCCCCTGCGCCGCGTGCGAGCGAGACGCGTCGCCAGGAAAGCGCTGCTGGGCCTTCACGCTGTGCGTCGCGGCGGGGGCCCACGGCCGCGTGACGCCTGAGAAGCTGAGCCGCGCGTGCGGCCCGGTGGTGGCAAAGCTGGCCCAGCGACTGATGGTTCCGGCGGAGGCCGGGTTGGGGACCTAGAGCTCAAGAATCCAAGAGCGCAAGAGCGACAAAGAATTGTTCAAACATTGGTTCAATCAACAACAACATGGTTTCAAAAATTGGCCGAAGAAAAAGCAACCTGATAGAAGCCATGAACCCGAATGCGGACACGAAATCGGACTCTTGTCACATCTCGCGTCGCGTCTCTAGTCACGTTTCTATACTCACGTCTCTGGTCACGTCTCTAGTCATGCCTTTGGTCACGTCATTTGTCACGTCTCTCGTAGCAACTCTGGCCACGTTTCGTCAAATCTCTCATCACGTGTCTCGCCGCGCCTCTCGTGACGACTCTGTCACGTCTCCCATCACGTCTTTCTTGGCGACTCCCGTCACGTCTCTTGTCATGTGAGTCGTCACCCCTCGCGTTGCGTCTCGCCGTGCCTGTCGTCGCGTTTCTCGTCGCGTTTCTCGTCGCGTCTTTCTTGGCAACTCTCGTCACGTCTCTTGTCACGCATGAGTCGTCGGCCCTCGCGTCACGTCTCTGGTCACGTCTCTCGTCACAACCCTCGGCGCGTCTCTTTTCACGTCTCTTCAGCGTCTCTTGTCACGTCTCTTTGTTTTTTCTGCTCACGTCTCTCAGTCACGTCCTTTGTCACGTCCTTTGTCGAGTCTCACGTAACAACGTTTCTTGTCGCATCTATCGTCATGTCTCTTGGCTACGTAGTCGTGACGAGAGATGCGTGGAGACACGCGATGAAAGATGCGATGATCATGACGAGTGTTGCGACAGACGTGACAAAGGGCGTGACCAAAGACGTGCCCAGAGGCGTGACGATGGATGTGATGGATGTGACAAGAGACGTGCGAGGAGAGTCGCCGACGAGAGACGGCGTGACCAGAGACGTGACGACAAATATGACAAGAGACGTCCGAGGGTCGTGACCAGAGACGTGACCAGAGGCGTGACGATGGATGTGATGGATGTATCTCCCGCACGTCTTGGTTGGAGACACTCATCGCGTCTCCTGTCGCGTGTGTCGTCGCCCCTCGGTCACGTCTCTTGTCACGACCCGCGTCTCTTCTCACACGTCATATTTGTTGTCGTGTCTCTTCGCGTCACGATCCTCGTCACGTCTCTTGTCGCATCTCTGGTCACGTCTCTCGTCACGACTCTCCTCGCACGTCTCTTGTCACATCCATCGTCACGCCCCTGATCACGTCTCGTGTCACGTCTTTGGTTACGTCCTTTGTCACGTCTGTAACAACTCTGGTCCCGTCTCTCGTCATCACTTTCAACACATCGCCCATCATCGTCACATCTCCTCTAGCCACGACCCTACTCGCGTTTCGTGTCACATCTCTTGTCACGTGTTTCGTCGTGACTTCGCGATCTCAAAATGTGCTCCGCGCCACGGCGAGACGCAGAGCGTTCGCTTTGCGATCTCAAAATGCGCACGGCGCCACGAAAGCGCGCAGAGGGTTCAGGTTGCGATCTGCACCGCGCCACAGCGAGAGAGATTCGACCCACCCAAAGTCCGCAGAGGGTTCGCTTTGCGATCTCCAATGCGCACCGTGCCACAGCGAGAGCGACTCGACCCATCAAAGTGCTGCGCCTGCCACGAAATCTGCACGCAAGCAGGAAAGTCTGCGCCTGCCAGGAAATCTGCACGAAAAGCTCTAAAGTGCTGCGCCTGCCACGAAATCTGCACGAACAGCTCGAAAGTGCTGCGCCTGTCACGATAAATGACGTTACAGCAACAGGCAAAACGCTCCAAATGCCGCGCCTGCCACGTAACCAGAATTTGACACTCTCGCGGAAAACTCGCGCGGGACTGCGGCGCCAAAATGATTTCGACTGATTGTACGACAGGGCCAACGAAAACAACGCTCGAGGAAACGCTTACGCGCGCATTCCAAGCAAAATACCTCAAAACGACAACCCCTGAAACGCGAATCACAACGGATTTGCAACGCGCACGTGAGCCTTGACAAAACATTGCGCCTGCGCAGCAAAACGACGTCTGACATGCTAAGAACTACGATTCTCGCACAGGGGCACAAAAAATGACACGCTTCAAGTGTCATCTAAATGGCACGTTTTCGGCTTCCTTGCTGGGACTGCGACCGCGACACTCGCGAACACATACGGACGCTTGCGAACGCTTGGGGACGTAAATTCAACGACTTCTGGTCACGTCCTAACCCCCAGACCCCCGACCTCTAAACGGGAACCCTTCTGCTGCGCATTCAGGGAAAAAAGGGTAACTTCCTTCCAAGAATTACATGGCAGCATGGACAATAAGAGTGGAGGAGTGGTCGGGGGTTCGGGTTTCCGAGGGCTTGATATTCCTCCCCTTCACTTGGAACTTGTGGATGGATCCAGTGGTTGCTCGGCGAGTAAGTGCGCAAGTGTTCCCGAGACCATGTGGCAAGTCAGCCAGTGCATTCAGAGCATCCTGCAGGCCAGGCATACTGAGAATTGCCCTGCAAACCCAACAGCGCCCATCTGCAGCAGAACCTCCCCTTTTGAAGTGCTTTTTATTTTGCGTACGTTGATTTGTGTTTGGTAGCTGTGAGCTGACCCTGGCCAGAAATTTGCTACACACGCGATGGGGTCAACCTGTCAGGACAAACGTTAACATTTTCCAAGAAGGAAGAACAACTGCAACAAAACCTTATTACACTGACAGCGAGGGGGGGATGTAGAGTGACAGGCGAGAAAGGTGCTTCTTGGTTTCAAACTCAGATAATGAAATTGGTATGTGTCAAGATAGGAATACCCGTGAACGTGGAGGTTTCCTCGTTTCCATTGAAACTAACGCTAATATTCACCACAACCACGTTCGAGTCGCGTGCCTTGGAAGCCCGGTGCTGTTCAACTCAGCGTTCGGGGGGCATGTTTCCAGACGCTCGTTGCCCAAGGGGTTGCCGCTTGGAGGGCAAATGCGTACGCATGGTTCACGTATAGTTGCCTTAGGATTAGTGAGGAAAGGGTTCTGACACTTTCGGTGGTGTTTTCATGTCAAAAGGCAACCCAATTGTCCAAAGCAGGGGATACTTCTTGAGGCACTCTCTCACACAGATCCATTTACGCGAGGCAGAGACCAGTGGAAACACAGAGCGGCCATGCCCTAGCGGACACGCGGAGGCTGGAAATACACACGCCATGCCAAGTCCTACATCTCCTTTGCTGGGGCACCGCGTGTGCTGGCATATTTTGCTTATTTGGTCTGTTTGACTTGCTTGCCTTGGTTCTGTTCTCTCTGTGTGTGCGTGTGTTTGGTTTGCTTAGTTTATTGTAAACGCTGCGCTCTGCCCGCCTTGGCCAGGGTGAAAAGAACCACAAGAGCAATATAGACCTGAGCAGATGATGCCGGGCCTGGGTAGAGCAGTCTGGCGGGCTGAACGCAACGTGATTGCCAGGAACTTGAACTCGCAACGAGGTGGCTCAGGCTTCGGGCAAGGTTTTGCCACGTAAAGGGAGGCAACCGGGGCAATTTGACCTTTGTGGTCGTCGTTTGTGGTTGATCATGCCTGTCCAAGGTTGTGCGCAAGCGGAGGCCCCAACGTGTTACCTGGGCATGGGCCGGAAAGTGGCAGCTACAAGTGATGTAGCCTAGGAGCCCGAAGTCAGAGGGAGTTGATTGCGAAGTGCCAGTTTACCAAACGTATTACAAAGATGCCTGGACCGTCAAGCCATCAAACGTGGACATGCAAGGACGCATTGGCTCGCGGTTTGATTTTTTGGGGCCAAACAGAAAAGGGGGCAAACAAGGGCTAGCGCGCATCTTCAGACGTTCTGCGTGGCTTGGATTCCCCCACCGCAAGCCTATTTCGGATTGCCCGGGATGGGTGGATTTTGAGTTCGGTGGTTTGGAGGTTTGTGTAGAGGGTAAGGAATCACCTTTCAACCTTTAATCCAACCACTGACGGTCAGAGGGACACTGTTTGCAGGTGGACGCTGCACCCCCCCGACCCATGCCAGATGCTGCCCGGAAGGAGGTGCAGGAGCGCCCGTGATGCTCCCTTGTTTCAAGCATCATTTTCCCGACTCATTTCCGCAGGATCTTGGGCTGACATGAGGTTCGGCCGACATATCAGTAGGACTCACTGTACTTTCCAGAGAAAACTGGGGGGAACCAATTTTATTATGCGGTTTAGCGGGCCAAGTTTCTTATGAGGTTTCGAGGGGCCCGCGTATTTTGAACGGGCTCACATGTGTCGGCATTGTCTTCGATTTTCCCACAAGTTTAGCCAAGCCGCTTCGGCTTGGCTTGTCTGTGCCTGGTAAAAGCAGATGTCTCCGCGGTTTGAGGTGGTCAAACCAGGTTCCGAACCCCAGTTCTTCAGCCCCGTTTTCCCCCCTTTCATTTTGTTTTTTTCACCAAAAAGTGTCAATCCTGGGGTTCCGTTTTGCTACTGGTTGCAACTCTCCGGCGCCGGAGAGCTTGCCAGGATCGGGAGCGCTCCCGATCTCGGAGGCGCCGGGGGTGAAACCAGCCACCGAAAAGCGGAGTCCTGGGATGGAGCGTTCAGCCCATGCCTTGGGCGCTTGAGGTTGGGCGTGCACTTCGGCCCCAATTTCGGATGGTTCAGTACCGAAACCAAGCTGCCTGCGGCTGAGCCCCCGTTATCAAACTATGCTGTTTTTTTTCTAGCTTTGGTCGCTTTAAAACACCCTGAAAGGAACACACCGGTAGCATATGCAAACTCTAAGTTGCTCTGAATCACTCTCAACCACTTCAACTCCTTGCTAACTCTAAACCATTCTAAATGGCAACAGCAGCCCCTCTTTTGAAAACCGTCCACTCCGTAGCATGATTTGCGGGCATGTGCTGGGTACCATTTGCATCATTGCTCCACCAAGTGACATGTTCAACGGGACAAACGACAACTTTGAGATGCCAGATTCTCCAAACAGACCCCCTTCCTACTCGCCACCCTTGCTACCCGAACCAGGCAAAAAAAATGCAATGGTCTCGCCCCAAAGCGGTGTAAAACACCACTGTTTGGGCGGGCAGCGGTCTTTGCGAAAATAGTTTTGTAGGCTTGGTTTTGACCAATCAATTGCTGAAAAGACATCTGTCCCAATCAAAGGGGCAAGCGTGGCTGGTCAAAAGCTGATGAAAAGGGCCATATCATCAATCTGTTTGGAGGGCTTCGTGCTGAACGCGCAAGACCATGTGCCTAAACCACCGACCGACCTCCATGTTCGGCTTTTTGGGTGAGTTCGTACTGTGCGCCAAAGGGGCCAGTGTATTCAGGCTGGCGTCGCATTGCCGATTTGTACCCCCCCGCGAGGGCGGACAAACGCAGGCGGGAGCGCGATTTGATTGCGGACATGGAGAAGAAGCTCGCCGAGTTGCGCAGCTTGGCGAAAAACACAGTATGCCCGGTGTGGTTTCGAAACAACGCCCCTGAGACACCGACCCCCTGCCCAGTTGTTCAATGCCATGTTTCTTGCTGTTTGGCTGGGTGGTTGCAACCTTGTGGACACAGCGGTATTGGCATTGCGTCCAGGAAGCGGCTGCAGTGTGTGGTCTTCGTGGGGTCATGTTGACTGGAACTTCTCTCTACCTTCTACCTACTTGGGGGTGACCTTCAACTGGAGCCGGTTGTCCCAAGAGAAGTTGGCAGTCCGGCCATCTCCACGGATCACAGGAACCCTGTGCGGAGCATGCTTTTGCTGTGTCGGGGGCGGGGGGCGGGGGCGTGTCACAATCCCGTGCCGCATGCTCAGACGCAAGTTCCCGGTTTCACATTGGCAAGATTGCGCAAACCGGTGGCCGACACACAAGATGAGCCTTTTTGGTGAAACGACTTTCACGAGGGGTCCCTCTCTGTGATCAGGAGCTGACACAAACACCCATTGAAGGTGGGAGGAACACCCCGCGCACCTGCACAACCTCAGGTGGAATCAAACGCCAGTATGACTCATTTGTCACGTTTTTGCGAAGACTGTACCATCTATCACTTTTGTAAGACAAATTACACCAGCATAGACCCCAGATAGCAATGATTGCACACCAGCACCTCCACCCCCGAAGAGCGTCCCAAACAGCACCCGGCCGTCAATCGAGCACCCGCGCCATCACTAGCACCTCCAACAGCACCCCAAACAGCATCCCAAAACAGCACCTGCACCAGCATGCCCCCTGCACCCTGCCGTCAATCTCGCAAAAATGCGCCTGCACCATCGCCCTAAGAGCACTCCAAACAGCACCCCCCCAAACACCCGGCCGCACCCCAAACAGCATCCCAAAACGCCACCTGCACCAGCATCCCAAGCTGCATGCCTTCTTGTACCCTACCGTCAAGATGCAAAAATGTGCCTGCACCGTCACCTGCATGCCCGATAGCACCCGGGCGTCAATATCGCAAATTGCGCCCGCACCGTCACCAGCACCTCAAACAGCTCCCCAAACAGCATCCCAAACCACCACCAGCACCAGCACCCAAACTGCATGCCCCCGTGCACCCTACCGTCAAGATGCAAAAACACCGTCATTCCCAAAACAGCACCTGCACCAGCACCCCCAAACTGCATGCCCCCTAGCACCCTACCGTCAATCTTGAAAAGATGCGCCCGCACTGCCATCAGCACCTCAAACAGCACCCCAATCCCAAACTGCACGCCCCTTAGCACCAGCCCATCAATCTCGCAAGTCACTTCCCCCTCTTTATTAGAAGTTAGAACCCCTATAGCTTTCAGCTATCTGGGGAACAACCCGAAAATGCCAAAATATAACCCGGACCTTGACGGTAGCCCTCCTTGAGCGAATTCGCTCAGTCAGATTCCCAATTTTCCCAGGAGTGTACTCATTCCACCCTACAAGCCCGCGCCAGCCAAACTTGTAGCCCGGTTGTTGGCCTGTTTGCTTCCAAGTTTTGGTCTCTTTGTTGGCCAAAGGGTGTTCCCAAGACTTGAGACAGGTGTCGGTAAATAAAGTTCAGTTCATCTTCATTCATTGACACATAAAAGTAAACTTCCCTGGCTGCGCTCGATGTTTTGGCCATAGACCAAAAAGAGGATATCCTTTTGCGACCCTGGGGCACCATAGGGTCAGCTGCGTGTTGAATGATCTGCAGAACTACCTGGTGGTGTCATCTTCCTCCATCTCGAGGCAAAGAGGCTCACGACCTCACTTTTTCGCGGGACCTTGCAGTATGCGCCCAACAGTTCGCCGAGGACGAGGGGGGGGGGGGGGGTAAGGGGAAGAATTCCAAGGCTCAATCTCCCAGGCAGCCCTGACATCTTGCCCACATGAGCCCTGACATCTTGCCCACATGGATTAGTTTCCTAGAGCTCCCTTGTTCAATGGGTTTGAACGCTGTTAGCGCAAGCTGCTTCTTTTTTTTGTTTCTGTGATCGCCAGTGTCATTTGTTTGATTTGAGGCTTGATGGGGCAGCGTGTGGCAAACATGGCTTGCCTTGCCAAGCAAACGATGGTCGCACACCTTTCTTTGGAAGGTTGACGACATATGTGTGCGTGTGTTATTGGGTACCTTTTCAGCTAGGCTTAAGGGAATCAAAAGGGAGCCCACCATGTTTTGGTGTCCCTGTATTTTGCCACGGGCCCAAATGCAAAGCTTTGGGACAATGCCAGGTCTCAAAGGCCCGAATTTGCATGGGTGCCTGCCAGCAGTACGGCCATCGGAAATGGCGCGCAAGACAAAGCATGCCAACGAGATAGGTCAGTATACATACATATAATCCCCTTCTTGAATCCAAGCAATCTGACTTGAGGGTTGTTGTATTTTGGCGCCAGATTTGAAAAGAGACCTGGTTCGTATGGGCTAACTCGCAGCAATGAGGTAGGTGCGCACGGGCGGTTTGCCTTTTCCCGGCACCTTTGCGGTGGGTTGGATTTGGGGTCCCCGAACCAAGCCTTGCTTCATGCAGTCAGGAGGGCAAGGCGCGGGCCCTGGAAGACTTGGGCAAGGCAAAGAAGGAAGTGCTGGAAGCTCAGGCCAGAGGGATTTGGCTGGCGATTGCCCTGTCCCGAGCTTGAAAAGCTTTGGTGTTTCTTAGAATATCGGTCCCTAAATTGTCTCAGCCACTGAGCCACGCAACCACGCCGAACAAATCCCAGAAGTTTGAAGAACGCCTCTCTTCTCAGCACGAATCACCGCGCTTCCATAGGCCTTTGCGCTGGCAGGTTTGCTATTGAATTCATTCTCAAAGGCCACAGGGCAAGTTCGAAAAAGATCGGCTTAGGCGGATTTTTTCCCGGGTACCCTGACAATGCCTTCAAAGAGAAGCCAATGGTCTGTCAGCCGAGTGTGAACCCAGGCTTGCATTCTCTCCTTGAACTTTGGCTGGCTTCAATTCCCTTGAAGTCCAAGAAAGAATCAGTGCCCCTGGTCCAGGGGAGGCTTTTGGTGCCCATGGAGGACACTTACCAGAAAGTCTGGCGGACGTGCATTCGCTTTGGCCTGGGTTCCCCCAAACCGAAAGCCAGGCGGAAGCCTGGCGGCTGCGAAAGCAGCTTGAAGAGAATCAGGCGTTGTTTTTTTTCAAGTTCGAACGGGGGCCAGGGAGGTGAAAAAAAATGCTTGGAAAGCTATTCGATAGAAAGCAGAAAAGCACTAGACTAGACAAGTTGTACTTTTCAGGACAACGGACAACCATGCCCCACACGACGACTTTTGTTGTCACAGGGGTTGTTGTTTGGCAAGCCTGACTGGGAAGTTTCGGTGGGCTATATGGTGGGCGGGCGCATGTTGGCGGGGGGCGGCGGGAGGGCGGGGGGGAGACGTTTAGCAGTTCTGTCCGTCTGGGTCCGCATTGCTTCCTTGATTGGGTCCATGCGAACTCAAAAGGTTGCCACACTAAAAGGCACCCTTTGCATCAATGTGATGCTCAGGCGAAGAGAATCCCCTTGAAAAAGGGACAGCGCCGAACGACAGAGCACAGCTGCGAAGGGAGAACATGGCGATGTGCTTTTCTGTTCATTTGGGTGTGTATCAAAATTCATCATTTGGACCCCACAATGTGTGGTTTTCTTTTTGGTTCCACTTTAAGGTGAAAAGGGAACCCGTCAAGAAAATACAAGCGCCGATACTGTATGTGGTTTTTAGGAGATGAGGGGCACATACCCCTGACAAGATTTCTTGCAATCAGGGCTCCCCCTTCCCCCCGCTGAGCTGACAATCATTGCGCAGAAACGACTCCTTGCTTCAAGACGATTTTTCTCACGCCTCATTTTGCTGGCGTGCCTAAATGAGTGAAACACAAGCACGATTGCATGGTTGCCAGCGAGCCTAAGATGGCGAGACACCTCCCCGAACTCTGCGAAGCCTCCCCGAAAGGCGCCATGCGCTTTTGGCAGGGCACAGATCTCCTCTCCTTTTGCACCCATGTCGCTTCCCAAGGCTTTCGTTGTTTCGGAGAACCCACACATCGACCAGAGAGGGAAGCGATGGGCGTTGCCGAAGCTGACGTTCGCGCAACATCCCCATGGATGTAGAAGGACTTTTCACCCCCGTAGTTTGTTTTAGTGGAGATTCACCAGCGAATGATACAGTTGACGCATAAAACTTGACCGATCGCTATGTAGGGTCCTTGCTTCCAGTTGTGCAGGTCCTTTTCTGAATTGTTCTCGGTACGTGGAAATGGCCACAATTGGAACCCTGAGAATCATTGGTGTTGTTCTACCCCCACCCAAAGGTGCCTCACCGTATTCTTTAGAAGGGGTTTCCCTTTGAAATCCACAAAAGAGCCGGCGCAGTTTTCTCCCTGAAAATGTGTGGGTCGTGGCCTGGACAGGCGAAGATGGAGGGCTTGGAGACAAAGAGGCAGCAGGCCATCGAACATCCGAGCGACGCGGGCGGTTTCCGAGAAGGGTGGGCCCTCCAAACTTTTTTTGTTTCAACACAGGGGGACCCCTTTCACATGGCGTTTTTTGTTTCCTTGTGCTTGTGGTTTCCCGGTTGCAAAAGGTTTTTTCGGTTTTATTTGGATTTTTCCACTCCGCATGTTTGTGAAGAGCCACCCTCTAGCTGAACGGGGTTCATAACTTGGCATTGGTTCGTCAACAGGCCCCACTTGGACTGCTGGGAGCTCTCAAACCAAGACGATTGGTTGGGTCCGGACTTGTTCAACTCCATCCAAGCCAAGTCCGAGAATGCTAGTCGTGAAACACGATGACAAAGGTTTATGATTTGTTTAGGTGTCTATTTGTAGTGCTGGTGAACCACATTGCTGGGCTGTGCCCAAGGGAAAGCAAAGGCCCTGGCAGTGTGCGCACGCAGGCCACGTGCCGATAATAGGAGCTTTTGCGTGCCTTTCTGGGCACACAGCCAATGTCCGAAGAGCCTAGCATTCTTGCCACATATGTAACATCCACATGAGTAGCATTGTCTATCTTTAAATGACGGAATCCGGCTTTAATGGCAACCATGGCGCCGACATTGCTGAAACCAGCGTGAGTCCCCAGCAAAGCTTCTCATCAGAGTCTTTGCTCGAGAGCGCGTCTGGCTTGAATGGAGCCCAGATCACATCGCTCGAAATGGACCGCTGTTGGTTTCCTTCAACGGTTCCAGGGGTGCCTAGTTTTGCGACGGCCAAGTGCGGGGCTTCTTTTGACCTGAAGCGGCCACTTGAAGAACCAAGCTGACCGGGCATTTTTTTCCGGACGCACTTGGAGGACGACTGGTAGTCTTGCAGTTTGAACCAAGCACACAAGAAAACACAGAACAGCAAGAAAGGGATGCTGAAACCGGCATGTAGATAGCCACCAGAGACCGCGCCTGATGAGGCCTTGAGCCACGCCGAGAGCCTCTGGCTTTTGCTGGGGGGCTGCAAGGAGGAGACGATGGGGCAGGCGAGGTGGGATATGACTGACGCGTAGATGGCGCAATTTCTTTGAGCCATGACTAAACTCAACTGGGGGGATTCTCAAGCCATCTGCTTTCGCCCAACTACAAAGCGCCTTCTCAACGGGATTTGGTTCAAAATCCAATGCCATGGTTCTGCATGGTGCGCAAGGAGCTAAGGAAGTGAGGGATCTTCCTTGGTTGCTGTCCACGCCAGTGGGTGCTTCCTAGAATCGTGGCCCCAGCAAATATGGGCGGTCTGCTTTTGGTTTCTTTTTGGCACGCCCCAAGAGGGGATTTCAGTGTAGTACAAACCCGCGTATGTTTCTAAACACTGGTACGGGTGGATTTCCTCACCTCCCATGGGATTTCGGATCCCTTAAGGGTTGGTATTTGAATTCATTGAAGCCAGGTCGAGACGCCCGAGGCCATCAACCTCTGAACAAGCCGGCCGGTTCCGGGGGCTGGCGCAGTTTGTCTGGCCCATGTGGAAAAGACAGCTTCTTCAGGGACAGCATGTGACGGGGGACACACACAACATCACAATAAGTGTCTCCCTTTTCCAACTAAACCAACCCAACGGCAGCTTTGCCGCAGAACCTGCCAGCTCTCATTCAGACCGGAATTGAGTGGTTGCAGCCGCGAACTTCGGCAATGCCGTGCACGCTGGGGTGGCCGCATGCCGCGTACGAAGGTATGATAAAATGTCTGATGGGTCCAGAATCAATGGCAGCCCTTCGCTTTTCTTTGACCTGCAGTGCCATCAAAGACCCAGTACTTCCTTAGTGTTGCAAGTAAACCATCCTGGTCCTTTCAAAAGGACCATCTGCAGCTGTTTCGAAGATAGCCATTGGCGAGGTTCCCTTACCTTTGCTGGGGCTCACCCAAAAAGTGGGCGCCGGCTTCCGGAAGTACAGGCATATATAAATGGGTCGATAGATGCCCCTTCTTGAGAATGCAAGCGCCACGGTTTTTGGCCATGTGAAGATTAGCCTTCTTTGGTGGAAAGGTAAAGTGAATGATGGTTCACAAGGACACAACCCCAGGATGAATTTTGACCCACTCAAAATGCAACGGCATTGATTGACCCGCAGCAAACATTGAGACAAAGGGCGCCAAAAACTCCAGCGAGCACGGCGCCGCTTGCGCGCCGGCGAAGCTCCACTCCGCGAGGGGACATCGCGCGTGATTTCATGAACGCGCGCACCAAGCTCGCGCTGTTTTTGTGGAGACGGCTTTCTGAAAGCTAGGCGCCGCCGCTTTGTGGCGCAAAAACTCAGTGAGGTGCACGCACAAGAGACGCGGGATCCTTGAGTGGACAGAAAACGTGGGGATCTACGCAGCCACTAACCACGTTTGAGTATGTTGTATGTTTTGAGTATGGGTTTCATCGCTTTGTTGGCCAAGCTTGACATGGGACATTGTGCCTGGACGCAGGACGATTGAAAAACAAGGTTGTGAAGTAGCTGGTACTCGCGACCCCGCGGGTTGATAGGGGTGTTTTCTCCAAAAGCGATGGATCCTCTCTTAAATGCGACACCCCTCATCAACCAGGAGTTGATCTTGGTCCCCATTCTTAGCTGTTGTGTCCAGTTGACGGCGTGTTTTTTGGGGTGCAAGCTTTTGCTGGAGGACATAGAACGTAAGACATGAGCGATTGCTTTCAGCGCTAATGTAAGAGGAGTACGGAAAAGAGGGTAGGTGTTGGCCCTTCCCATCGCAAGGCATGTTTGTGCATTCTCACGGATCACGGGATAGGATTCGGGATCCATAGTTTTGGACACAGTTTCTGGACGCAGCGATGCGTTTCGACAGAATCCACTAGATTCAGAAAGAAAGCCGCCGAGAGAACGAACCACTTGCTTGCCCGAGCGAGCTCAAACTTGTCTGGACCTGGCGATTTCGAAGTGACTTCCGCGGGCAGGTGGCAGCCTTTTTCCTCAGGTTCACCGGCACAGGCACCCTAGGTCAAGAAGGCAGCCACCAGTTCCCCGACCCAAAGCCACTTAAACTCGCGGGTCCAAAGGGAGGTGGTGCTCCCTCTACACTTTGCCGCTCGCCATGAGTTTGCCAGGGCCATGTGCAAAGACAAGTGAGTCACAATCAAAACCCAGGTAAGTGAAGGTGAGTAAGGGACAGTCTCAACCATAAATAGTTGCGGCCGCCTTCTGAATCCTTTACATGATTCTGGGTGGATCATCTTAATATATACCAGGTTTTGATTTGGACTCAAGTGCAGGTCATGGAAGGATCGCTGTCACGATCAGCTGCCATTGATCACCTGATAACACACCCTACTGCTCGATTCTTCAATGGCCTCTGCTGACTATGCTCAGCAAAAACGTGGCCCCGTTGCCACGAAAGACAGCCGGACAAAAGGCAGTGATGCTTTGACGTCACCGACGTAGAATGACAATCTTGTAGAATGCGTTCCAAAACATGTGGGTTTCATCACACTGTGGCAGTTTCGAGCAACTGCCTTTCAATGTGCTTCTGTCAGGATCCGGAGGTTGCCAACAATAGGTGTTTTTTTGTTTGTGTCTTAGAGGGACACCACAAGGAAACATGTTTGGAGGGGACGCGGGAGTTATGCCCTCGAAACGGTGCCCCCAAAAAGGACCAGCATTTTGTCGGCCCCCGGAGGTTTTGATGCAAAGGTGCTGATACTGAGTTTCAAGAGGCCTGGTTTCGACGTGCCCAATGGATTCATCTTGAAGAACCACCCATTCTTGCGGTGGACCCCCCATTTTTGGATTCGGTGTTGAGTTGCAGGGGAGTAACGCTGTGAGCAACTGCTCTTCAGATCTCATGACACATGGACACCCTTTGGCAGTGTCCTACGAGCGGTCTTTGGCTGAAACATGTTTGAGCCATGGACCTCAAGCCGCCTTTGACTTTCCATGTTGAGTGGGCAAACCGGTGTCGGGTTGCATCGCAAGCCTGGATTCAGGTTTCGTGGGGTCCGCTGGGTCTTTCATTTGGGATCCGAGGTGACAAGCGGTTTTGGAGGGAGCGGGGCGGGGATTTCGAGCTTGGCTTCAGACCGCCTTGTGCTTCTCAAAACAGGGATCCGCTTTGGATGCTTTTCAGGGGAAACCAAAAGGAAACCAACCCACCTGGAGCCAAAAAGGGAACGCATTTCCGCATAGTCTGTTGGGAGGACATACTATATATAATGCATGCATATATATAGTACATGTACATATATATATATACATGTATAAAGACACAGATATAATATATCTACATATATGTATACACTGTATATTACAAGAGTAAATAGACCCATGTATATATATATATATTGTTTTTGGGGGCATTTACTTTTATCGCAACATGTTTAATTTCATGCCAATGCCCAACGCGGCATTTGGCTCAAGTTTTGCATCCGGCATTCATCGTCCGCCATTTCGTCGGGAAAAGTCCGCGGCGCATCCGCACGCCGGCCGCGTGGCATCGCGGCCGTCGTGTCTGGGGCGGTGGTCTTTCTCCTGGAGGTGGGTCGGGCTATTGTTTGGGGTGCGCTGCTATTGCTCGCTTTGCTCGCTTGGTGCTGCTTGCTGCTGGTTTGCTTGCCTGCTTTGCGCTGTGCTGCGCTTCTGCTTGGTTCCTTCTTGTTACAACGAGGCACCCCTTTTGGTTCGTGTTAGTGCCGGCCGAAACTCTGTTTCAAACCCTTTCGCAGGTTATCAGCCGTAGGATTCGTCCTCGGTTGGCACCGCGAACCCCATTTAATAACAACCCTGCAGGCGCCGTTTTCCATAGGCTACTGTAGGACTCATGGCGGGAATCACGAGGATGGACCTCATGTGGTGACCGATGAGTGGGTTCTCGGCCAGGCCGGAATCTTGGACGTTGTGAATGACGACCAAGTGCCCGGACAGCCGATGTTTTCCGGTCCTGACTTTTTGTCGGACCACACTTTTTCAGAAGCAATGCCTTCAGGAAGGTCCAGTGCTACTCGCACTGATGACCTATCGTCTAATGCCTCAAGAGCTAATCGCTCTCAGGGTCGTGGGGCTAATCGTCCTGACCATGATGATTCCGTCTCAGGACGTGATGATGACGAGCCCGGTATTGCACCTGGAGCTCAATCCTCATCTTTCCCCGAGCTGATGAATATTGGTCAGTCCGAGGTTCGTGACTCCCGAGGTAGCAGTAGACCTGTGCCAACCAGTAACATAGCTTTCCAAGTACTCGGTAATCCCGAGCCTGGTACATCCAGTGGAGTTGCATTTGACGTTCATCTGCCAACCGAATCCGGTGGGCCGTCATCTTTCCCGCAATTCCAAAGCCCAAAACGGGCTGCTGGAAGCGATGAATTCATGCTACCTTTGTCGATTGAGAATCTCAATCCTGATGTGGCCGGTCGTAACGTCAGGCCAAGGCCGTCGGTAAACCCGACCATGAGGAACATGTCTCCTCCCCCAGGACTTTCAGGATTTGAGAGCCCTAGGGAGCGTAACATTGTAGATAGATTGGATTTGCATCCCAGTCCAACCCCGAGCAAGCGATCAAGGTCAAATTCGACTGGATCGCATAGGGCAAAGGGGGATGGATCGGGAAACTGCCCACAGGGGGAACCCCAGTGCGCGGGGCTCAGGACGCGGTCGATCAGGTGACCCAGCGTCGATCATTGGTAGAGACCCGTTAAACGCGGACACACTCGTTAACGTGCTTGATGGGATCGAAGCATTCCAGGAGGAATTTAATAGGTCAAGTGGCTTGAACGCACAAAGTGCTCGCCCTACGCCCAATGCGGCTCCCTTTTTCGTCCTGGACGACATGGACGGAGCTAATGTTCCGATAGAGTCCGAGTCCATGATGGCATCAAGTTCTAGTCGCAATCACACCATCAGTAATGCAACTGATATTGAATCGATGTCTGAATCTAGAGTGTCCAATGCGACTGATTTGAATGACATTGTTATTGCTGACTCGAGACCTGATGTTCCTATGCGAACTGATAGGCCTGTTGTTCCTAAACTGTCCGTGGCCACAGGCCTAACCATGACACAACCCTCGGCGGTTCGTGATGCTAGGAGATCTGCGCCATACCAGAGCCAATCTCCTAATCGGAGTGAGTTCCCACGGCCATCAACGGCCGTGCAGGATGATTTCAGAACTCCTCCGAGATCTAATCCGGTCATGATTGATCTGTCCACTCCTCGGGACCGTGGATCAAGGCATAGTCCAATGGGTGAAGATCAGCCCAATGAGGTTGCTGATCTTGTCACGGCCCTTGAAAGAGGGAAAGTGGACTCTTCCGTAAGTGCGATTATTCATCGCCTAGTTGCTAAGGTCGAAGACCTTGAGGATAGGAATGATAGGAGTGATCAATGCATCAGGCAACTAACCACTGAGGTCAACTCGTGGAGGGCCAAGTACGACCAATGCGTCCATGTGAATAACACATGTACGCAGGCTGCAAATGCGTCAATG